GATAGATAGATAGATAGATAGATAGATAGATAGATAGATAGATAGATAGATAGATAGATAGATAGATAGATAGATAGATAGATTGGAATTCCCCTGGATCGAAGTGCCTTTCTCATTAGTGCCTTTCGAATTCCAGTAATTGACTGGCAGCTTCAGAATTAATAAAGCCAAATTGTTAGACTCTCAAATAGTCTTTTTACCTTAAAACCGGCCCACAGAAAGTCCAACGGCTCAGAATATAACCCCAAAAAATTCTTTAACCTTAATTTTCGCTTGTATTTGCACAGAAGCTTCCCCCAACATTTTCGATATCAGGTCTTACGATACAACTTTTTTTAAATTTAGATATATGTATTTGTTCTACATTTTAAAGCAATCTCTTTGATTCAAATTTATGTTTATATCATTTTCCGCTGTATTATGTTCAATACAGTGATGATTAAAGATGATAAAAATTGTAAATATTAAGAACAGTAAAGTTTCGACTTCAATACAAGTAGTGTACGTTCAATCGGACGCATCCTACAATGTCAGATGAGGAAATTTCCACCTTTATGCAACCTACGTTATTTGCTGCAATAGTATTTGTAGTTTCCCGATACATATAACTGACTGACCTTTTTAACATTCTCAAAAGTGACCAACTGAGCTAGCTTAATACTGACTGACCCGTTCCATTTTATACCTAATAATGTAATGGTGAACAGGGCCAAGAGGCTAGAGGAACCTTTTTGAACCAGCGAGAAGAGCATGATTACTAAATTTTTTTCAGCTGTTCAGTACCAACGTTAAAAGATTGACTGAACTCTTGGAAATGAAGACAAATAACTAATTTTCTCTGAATCTAAGCCTGCCACATGACCCTGAGTAGGCATTAACTATGAAGGCAGCTATTCTATCAACGATAGAACTTCCACCACTGTCATTCATGCCTACTACAGCTTCATTGCTTTCTTCAACAGACCTCTCTATCGGAATACCGTAGTTCAATGATCCATGTTGCGACCTGCCCACAAATTCCTCGAAGATAATGCCGTTGCTAGTTTGTCCTTGAAAATCTGTAGATTTGTCGGCACAAGGGTCACCACACTCACCAGCGTTTGTGATCTTTCTAGCTTCAGCACCACTCCCAGTGTCTAAAGAATCCCTTGCTGGTTGCTTGTTCTCCTTGGCTTCTTGTTCCCTTCTAGTATGCTTGTTCTCCTTGGCTTCTTGCTCCCTTGTTGTCTGCATGTTCTGCTTGGCTTCTTGTTCCCTTGTTGTCTGCTTGTTCTGCTCGGCTTCTTGTTCCCTTCTTGTCTGCATGTTCTGGTTGTGATTGTACGTTTGCTTGCAGCCATTCACAATGTGTGTAATGCTTGATGTATGGCTGGTACCATCTTGTGATAATTTGCTTCCATCTTGCACATTGTTGCTGCTGCAGGGTCTATTCAAATTCCCATCGCCTGCGACAAACGATAATAAAAATAGTTCAATCTCTGACTCTGGCTTTTAAAGTTACTAAAGATAAGTATCCGAAAATTTGCAATAAGAAAGTATTTGAAAAGCAAACTGAGCTGCAAGAAACGTATTTGATTCACAAGGTTGTCAAAACATTACTTTCCTATGCTACAACTAATGAAATATTCATGGTCTCAGCTACCTTTGCTCTATAATAAATTTTGTTCTGATTCTTGGAAAACAATGTGTATCGGAATATGCTGTCATTTTGCTCTATAATGATAACAAAAAGACCACACGCCCAAGAACTCACCCTGTGGCGTACCAGTTTGACCGGTTTAGCACTGAGCGAGGTGGGTCTCGTGCCACAACGAACGAAAAAGAAAGAACGAATAAATTGTGGAAGTTTTAATACGCCCTGTGAAAGAAATAATCCAACAACGAAAAGAAAATGAGATTCCTTTGATGGAAAGTGAGACTTGCAAAATATCCCTGCTTTTGTATATCACATCACTGAACTAGATGCATCTATTCAATAAGATTTTAACATACCGTTCGTTTTCTCTTGCCGGATGTTGTTCTCTGGTAAGCCAGCTTTGACCAAGATCTCAACTATGTCAGGTCTTTGAATTTCCTCCAGCATATTAGCCAAATCCCGGACCGTCATTTTTCTCTGGAACATTATTTGAAGCACCCCTTCCATCATTCCACCCGGAGCATGGTGATCTAAGCTCTGTACAGTTTGGAAACTTAGCGAGAGTTCAGCTGCTACTGCCTTCCAGTTATTTCTGAGTGGGCTGGGGTTATTGAGGTGCATAACAACTTCACTGAGAACAGAAGCTGGAATATCTTTTAATAACTGCCCTGAAAGTAAGACAAGCGGAAACGTTAGGATACTTAATAAGTACGCGCAGGAGGCTCCTGGTACGCGCCTATACATGTAGCTTAGGCGAGCATGCTCTGGAGCAGGGGCGGTCCGCGGCGTTTATTCGGGATGGGGCGCTACCCTTATTTTTATTGGTTACCTCGACATCTCCGACATGATTAAAAAACCAACTGTGGAGTTGGTTAAATTTGCTCATTTAAATCACGATATAATTATCATCTCTCAAAATAAGGAGAAAGTGTTGTGAAATGAAAAGTACCACAAAATCGAAATGAGGCGCGATAATATCGGGACACATATTGTAAAGTGTATTTATCGCAATAGGCTCCGTTTTCTTAAACAGGAGTGATCAGCAAAGATCTTCAATGGGCTGGAGCCGGGCAATTTGTTATTAAAGGGCATTTTTTTTGCGTGGCGGGCACTTGTTCCAAACAGTTGTCATGCATAAGCCTTTTGTTATTGAAAACATTTTCTTGGCGAGCGAAATGGTTCCGTTCGGGTGACTCGTTTAGAGCAATCGCGTAGAACGACAAAGTAGACTCGATCCTCTTCTATGTCATAAGCACTCTTATTCCGAGGACAGCGAAAAGAAAGGGTCCAGAAAAGGAGGTTGACATGCGACGTATGAGAGCAAGCAAGCAAGCAAACGCCGTCATCGCACATCAACATACTTCGCCATCGCTTCCGCTGCAGGCCTAATCATAGGTAGCAACTGTTGAAGGATTTTGAAGTTGTTGCGCAGATGTGTAGTCGAGACTGCTTTACCTGGGTCGGTGATCCTCGTTGTTGTCGTTCGTGTTGATAAACCTGTAGAATAACCTATAGAATAACAAGAAGATTATTGTCAGTTAGCAATAATTATTTTTGAGACGATGATTTTAAAAAAGTTGGCATGTACTGCAAATCAACGCAGTGCACTCCTCTGCACAAAGACTGATGCACAATGAACTGCAATGCGCTGCACTAGACAGGACGCTGCTGGCACTGAACAATTTGCGTTGCACTGCATGACACTTTCCCGTAACCTACTGTACTGCAATGCACCAGCACTGCACATAGCAGTAGGCACTGGACTGAACTGGACATAATGCACTGCACTGGATAAAGAAGCTTGCACTGCATTGCACTGCAATACAGCACGATGCACTGATAGTCTGCACCAGACTGCACTGAGCCCAACAACATGATAGTGTAGTGGATCACACTGCGATGCATGCTCTACACTGACTGCAATACACTATACCCCGCACCAGCGCCAAAGCATTGAACTACATTACACCCCCAGTATACAGCACGCAGTACCCTATGCTGCACTTCTATCCGTGTCATCCGCTACATGCACTGCGCATGCATTGTATTATCTCACTTAAAAGCTCACCAAAGGTGCTAACACCTTTCATTTTCATTCAAAAGTCGTAAGTTTAAAATCTTCACGCATACCTCTTCGCTGTCCACGGTAAAAGTTCATTTTCGCTTTGTACCCAACATTAGCATTTCCTCCAGTTACGACAACCGAGTACTTCCCAGATGCTGAAAACAAGGAAAAAACCATGAGATCACTAGACTTTATTTCGTTTGATCTACATTTATTGGAATTCTGAGAACATANATTCAAAACATCATGTGGCCAAAGGAGAGCAAAGCGAAGAAAGAAAATCGCTTAATTTTGAACTAAAAGATGGATTATTTTAAGGCTAGCGGGCTAGCAGTCTCGTAAACCTATTTCCAATAATATTCGGTAAAGTAACAAACAGCATGGTCCGATTTAAAAAGAGCTCACGTCGGTTCTCGTACATCTTTAGCGTGCAAATCTATCTGTAACATTATTCTTGCATATTTTTCAGCGTATATTCTTACCTTAATGGGGCTTTCTTTCCCTCAACAAACTGGCTTCGCGAAGAAATGTCGGTCAACGCTATCTCCTTCAGTAGAATATCTTCTTTCTCACAATCGAATACGTCTTGAAACCCTTTCACGTATTAAACAACTGCCTATAGGACTCCTTCGCATTTTATATTTGATACACAAAAATTCCGGGGAAACCCCCTTTAGGTCAATCGGTGTCATTTTCAATACTTGACTGTGCTGCCGCCCATTCTTTACCAGATAAAACCAGCTGAATTCTTGAGGGGTGAACACGCTTCTTTTAATAACATCTTACAGTTTTAACCGGTTTCGCAGGCCTATTTAAACGTTTTACAGACTTAATGTTCCTTCGAACGTCCTGTTGCCACAAATCCTTTACAAAAGTGCTATTTTTTTAGTTATGATTTTGCATGCACGGTACTTACAGTTTAAGGTCACTTCAAACCTTCGCGGGTGTCCTCCGGAAAAAAACAAAAAAAATCGTACGCGCTGTTTTTAAGGAAACCCCCACAAACTATATATCAACAGAAAGGTTATAAAACGTAGAATTCGATAAAATTATG